TAGACTTAATTGACAGATTCAGTGGAGTATCTGGATACAAGGTGAATACCCCAAAATCAATAGCCTTCTTATACACAAATAACAGACACACGGAGAGAGAAATAAGGGAAAAAATTCCTTTTGCAATAGCATCCAAAAAAATGAAATATCTAGGAATCAATCTAACAAAAGAAACAAAAGATCTCTACACTGAAAACTACAGCACTCTGAAAAAAGAAATTGAAGAGGATATAAAAAAATGGGAAGATATCCCCTGCTCCTGGGTAAGAAGAATCAACATAGTGAAAATGGCCATACTACCAAAACTGCTATATACATTCAATGCAATGCCAATTGAAATTCCAACACTATATCTCACAGAACTAGAAAAAGAATCCAAAAATTCATTTGGAACCATAAGAGACCTAGAATAGCAAAAGCCATTTTAGGCAACAGACACATGGCACCATGTGTAACAATTCCCAATTTGAAACTATACTACAAAGCTACTGTGATATTAACCCGGTATTTTTAATGATCAATGATGATGCTCACTTTTTCTGACCACTAGAGCCTATGAACCAAGTTGCTGACATGCTTGATCAAATTAAACACGAAGCCTGAAACGCACAATGCCTTCCCCGTGTTAAGTACGTTTCATGATTGTTATGTGTTCTTTCTAGATGTCGCACCAAAGCCTCGTACTCTTCTTATTGGGGTAAGTGGATCACGGGAGTGGGATACTATATCTCCGTAGATCAGTCCCCTGGAGAATTTGCAGCCAAATGTGATGCTCATCAGTGGATTAGTCTGCTGAGGAGCTTAGAGCTAAACATGGTGTTGGATGGTGAAACCTGGTTGGAGGAGTGGGCCACTGGGGGCGTGGCCTGGCAGGGTCCGTCTCCCTCCCTCCTCCCTTGATCTCTGCTTCCTGCTGCCAGGCCATGAGCTGTTTCTCCTCTGCCGTGCCACCTTCCCTGGGAGCCAACCGACTATGGGCTGGCACCTCTACAAGCTGTGAGCCGAACTGAACCTGTCCTCTTCTAAGTTGTGGGTTTTGGGTTTTGTGCCTCAGCGATGAGAAAGTGACTCAGACAATGACTCTCTTCCTGCAGCCCTCTCAGCACCCTATTGGGAATGCTATCATCATCCACGTTTTAAGCTTGAGAAGCCGTTGCGAAGGGACTGTAAAATCAGAAGAGTTAGATGTGGAATCCTGGCCATCTATCTCCAGAGACTACATTCTCCATCTCTGTGCTATCCTTGTACTTTCACATGGGTTTTTTAAGGCTTCTCATTAAATAAAACCTTGAGTGCAAGGCAGGGGCAAATATCACTTTCCCAGTGCTGGTGACCAGAGAGCTGAAGCTAAGCTGAGGGTCAAAGTCGACTTCATTAGAAGCTTATAGCACTGGAGAGGTGGTGGAAAACTCATACTCTGGATCCGCACCACCTGAGTTCCAGTGTTAACTCCGCTGCTTGAAGCTGCAAAATCTGCAGTAGGTCACACAACCACTGGTTACTGCACCCTCAGAAAGGGGATGGGAGCAGCATTGCAGGGACAGTTAAATTAGGTTATATTAAAATTGTAGTGCACTACAACAGCGCAGTAAATAGCAGCTGTTGAGAGCAGAGTCAGAAGCAGAACAAATGAACTTCAAGCTCAGTGAGGTACCCAGAGTACTGAATTCCCCAGCCAGGATGAAGACGGATCCCAGTCAGTCAGTTTTCTGTCGCTGTGACAAAATACTTGAAATAAATAACTAAGAAGAAGAGGTCACTCTGGCACGTGGTTTCAGTCCGTGGTTACTTGGGTCTGTGTTGAGGCAGACCATGGTGATGGGGAGTGCTTGGCAGGGCGCCTGCTCATTCCACATTGGCTGAGAAGGAAGGCAAGGGGAACAGGAACCAAGATCACAACATCCTCTTGGGAAGCTTTCCAGGATCTGACTTCACACCCTCCCGAGAGCGCCACAGGCTGGTGACCAAACTTCACTGTATGCACTTTGCGGGATATTTAGGACCCAAACCAATATAAGTGACACATTCTTTTTTGTTGTTCCACTGAAGGGCTGCCTGCTCTGTCTGCAGGATTGTCCTTCAATTTTTTTCTCTAAATATCACCATCACTTTCCCAGTTAACACACACCCTGCCTCCATCATTGCTTTTTCTCTCACTTTCTCTAATAATTCCTTCTCATAAACCTTTAAATACCTTTAAGTATGAAAAGATACTTTTCTATGGAGAAATGTTCAATCCCTCTCTTCTGCTGTCCCCTCGAAGACAAACACTGAAATTTGCATACATAAACTGCTTCTATCTTCTGTGTTATACTTACTTCATCAATATGGTCTCTTCCCAAAAAACAGCAGTTTTAGTGAAATAATTCCTGATGGCACAAAGTGGTGATAATGGCAGCTTCCATTTTTCATCAATTATTTTGATAATCAATTGCTAAAGTCACATTTCCTGACAACTGGGGTCTACACAGTATCAATGTAAAAATACAATACAGTGACATTTACATTTATTAAATCATCTAAAATCCTACTTCTCTAGGTACTTCTCCAAGAGAAACGAAAAATATGTCTACACAAAAACTCATACATGGTGACTATGACTTCATTAATAAATGTTAAAAATGACAAAGAGCAAAAATATACAGGTAGAGGTCAAAGTGTAAACAAACTGTGGTGCTGTCATACAATGGATGTCTATTTATCAGTAAAAAGAAACCCGTTACTAATTCAGACAACAAAATGTGTGAAAACCGAATACATTTTGCTATGTAAAAGAAGTCAGATTCAAAAGGCTACACACAGCAGGTTTCCATGATTCCACACATGTGATATTGTACAAACATTGCACCTAAAGAGACAAAAAGTACAGTATTGGTGTCAGTAAAGAGTGGAGGTATTGCAAAGTGGTTCAAGAAAATTTGGGGGGATAATTGAACTGCTCTATATATCTTGAGTGCTGTGGTAGTTACTGAACATATGGATGTGTCAAAATTGAATACTGAAGGAGCAGGAATAAGGAGTTATTTTTGATGGATATAGAGTTTTGACTTGAGATGATGAAAAAGTTTTGACACACAACTACTCTGGCACCTCTCCCGGGCCTGTTTGGATTCATCCTGGATCGCTGCAAGGCCACTCTGAGAGCAATGACCTTCAGAGGGAGCACTTCCAAGTCCTGTGTTCTTTGGAGGCCACAGATTGAGCTTCCTGTTTGCACACCTGTTTGCACACAGCATGCTCACAGATAAATCCCCGGGGATTTGGGGAGTCACTGGGGTCAGACACCATAAGGAGGAAGACGCTACAATCTCACCTCTTGAAATTTTTCTTTACACCATGAGGACGGGCAGACATGCTTTGCCAGCTTTTGTTCTGATACTTGTTGTTCGCCTCACAGTAGCTGCCTCAGTCCATGCAGAACCGTGAGTAACACAAAGGCCCTCTTGTGCAGTGAGCTGTCTTTGTTGAATTATCCCATTCCATTGTTAATTTATACCCAAATCTCTACCTATATTCTTTTTTTCTTCTTAAGTGCCAAATAACAACTCTATGTATTTATGGGATACGATGTAATGTTTTGATGTCTGTGTACAATGTGGATTGATTAGCTAAGCGATAAATATAATAATCACCTCATTTACATGTCTTGTGGTGAGATTTAAAAAATTGACTTTTGATAGTTTTGAAATATAGAGTATATTATGACTAATTCTATTCACCATGATGCATGATCAATAGCCAGACTACTTTGTCTTCACTCACTGAAGCTTTGTACCCTTCTAATAACATTCCCTACCTCCTCTCTCCAGCCTCTGGTAATCACCATTCTACTTGTCTCACCTAAATTCTTATGTATCATTTTCAGCTGTAATATTTCGTGATTTTACAAAATTTTTGTCAACTCTAGAGTAATCAGTATGACTAACTTAGATGTGATTTGAAAAAATGCCTTTTTATTTATCTGCCTCTCAGACCTAAAATTCCAGTGTTCAAGACCCACTCTTTTGTGTTGAAGCCATTTAAACACAATAATCTTAAAAAGAAGGGTAAAATTCATATTTGTTATTGGATTAAATATTAAAGTTAGAGGGTCAATTTGAGTCAGACAAGACTTTAGGCAATGCCTCCTGGATTCTGTCTCTGTGTTTATTAAATGACATTACTTGCTGTAAAGGGCTTATGGTAAGGATTGAAATGCCCTGATAGTTATGAAGTACCAGTAGGGTTTATTTTTTATGCCAAAAAGAAATACATTACCAGGAGTTGTCATATTACTTTTCCCTTTCCTATGGTTAGAAGAATAAGAATATTTGACTTTAAAAGTGGTATTATTATAGCTTGTGTCTAAATATCCCCCCAAAGCCTCATGAAATCATAGGTGGGGCTTTTTCAGAGGTGGCTGAATCTAGAGTGTGTAACTGATTCATGATTCATGGTGCAATGCTGGGATTAAGGGTCCACTGATAGGTTTGGCACAGCCCTAATCCTGGTAGTTTGGGTACAATATAAGTGACAGAGAGAGGCTTGTTTGCTTCCTTGCTCACTTGCTTTGCTGCCTTCTGCTCACCATGAACTGTTTCTCCACTACGATGCCCCTCTGCCATGTGCTGCCCTGCCTTGGATCCAGCTGATTATGGACTGAAACGTCTACCAACTGAGCTAAATAAACCTTTTCTCCCTTAACTTGTGGGTGTTGGGTATTTTGCCTCAGCAACAAGAGAAAAGTAACTGAGACAGGTGTAAAAGAAAATAATCTAGTGATATTTAACAAACTTTAGAGATGGCATTCACTGGCTCCATTATGGACAGTTTGATAACTAAAATATCTCTAATATCAGAGAAGAGGGAAAAACACCTTTGAGGTCCAGCTTTGTCTATTTCTCAGTCATGATTTGGATCAGTTATACAACTCTGAATTCCACATATAATGGTGTGTGTTTAGGGAGGAGAAACTGAAAATAAAAAGGAAGCATTGGGTGGTTTTTCAAAAATTAAATATAGCATTTAAGATTAATCCTAATAGAGTGGGTTATGTAGTGGATAATTATTTCTCTTATTTTGTCCTTAAAAACTAAATTCAGGAGCTTGAGTACTGCAGGGGTAGGGAGGAAGTGTGGAACCATCATGTCATTAGAACCTACCTTGAATAAGGCACCACTGCCAAAGCTGCTCATGTATATGAAATTCCTGTGGCTCACTGTATTACTGTGCTGTCAACCAGCCTTGTCAGGGTATAGAAGTAAGGGCAGTAGTAATTACTGTGATGGAACCACAGTCATGGAAAATGCATCTCTCCTCACCTGTCCTGCCTGCTCCCTTTCCAGGCAGTACATGGTGCTGGTCCCCTGCAAGCTCTTCACTGAGGTGCCTGAGAAAATCTGTCTCCATCTGCATCACCTGAATGAGACAGTGACTGTAAGTGCTTTCCTGGGTTCCAACGTGGGAAACAGGAAACTGTTCGGTGACCTCGTGGTGGACAAGGACTTGTTCCAGTGCATTTCCTTCACTGTGAGTACAAGCTACTATGTATGATACAGGGAGAGTGGTTTTCAGTATCAGAGAATTAATCTAGAAGGATGTCGTGACTTCAAAGAACAATGTAGAAAAATATCATAACCAAAGAAGACAGTATAGATTTTCCCACTCAAAACGGAAGCAGTTAGTAATTATGGACATGTTAATTTTTATTGAATTTCCACAAAAATCCTACTAGCCAGAGAAAGCATGAGTTAGACATGGAGGGTATTTATTATTATTATTGTTATTATGTTGGTACTGGGATCAAACTCAGGTTCTTGGACTTGCAAGGCAGGAGGTAGCACCACTGAGCTAAATCCCTGGCCCTATTTTTTTATTATTAAGGTGCAAACTGAAATACTGTTCCTAAGAAGGGCTGCATCTTTACATATATTCCATATCTTGAATTTATTTCTAGTTTCTTCTTTGGGCAATCCATCTTCAAGATATGATTCCTACCATCATTAGCATATTACATTTTCTCCTCTTCCATGGTTTTCAGGGTTGGGTTTACTTTTTAATTAAGATATATTTACTTAACAAAATTAACTGTGTTTTCATAGGTACTGTGTTAGTCACATGAAAATTTGGATTTCATTTGTCACACCCCTTTCTGACTTATTCTCCTCTACCTTATATTTAAGTAATATTCATGGAAAGTAAGCAAGTATGTAAACAAATAAAATACATGGGCTCACCTGCATTCCTATTGAGTGAAGGGAGAACGGAAGAAACAGAAATGCTAAGGCCTCCAGGGGAAGATGACGGTGACCTTCTGACCTTTTGTTGTTCTCAGCTCCCAAGATACTCATTCCCTATGCAGTTCGCCTTCCTGTTTGTCCAGATACAAGGACCAACACACACGTTCAGCAAGAGCAAGGGAGTGCTGGTGAAGAATACAGAAAGTATTGTCATTGTCCAGACAGACAAACCCATGTACAAGCCAGGACAGTCCGGTAGGGGGCTCCACAGGGGCTGGTTCCACACATGAGATGTCCCGCTGGTGGGTTACCCCAAGGCCTGCACCTCCTGGTCTGCTCAGAAAATTTTTCTTTTTCAGTGAAGTTTCGAGTTGTGTCTGTGGATAAAAATTTACACCCCCTGAATGAGTTGGTGAGTATTTTATGCCTGTCCATCAGTGGTGTGAGTGGCAGAGGGGAGGGAGAAAAATGACTAGCCAGACTTTTATGTTCAACAAACCTGGAGTCAGCTGTGGGACTGTAACCCAAGCAGAGGACCATTGTCCTAGACATGACACCAAAGGGAAGGAGACAGGAGTTCTTCTCTTCTGCACTTTTCAGACACGCAGATATCAGTTCATGCCTTAGCTGGGTAGGAAGCCCTGTAGTGGCAAAGTGGGTGCATACCCGTGAATCTGACTCTGCAGTCTGAGAATGCAATCAGGGTAACATTGTTTTAAATCAATAAACCTAAGAAAAACTGATTATGAACTTTCACGCTTTGACATTTTGAAAATACCTCATCTTCTCTAGGTGCATAGAACAATGCAGAAGATTTACATAGAACTGAGAGATTAGAGGAAAGGCAGTCTTTTGTTTTCCTCCTTTCCATATAATCTGGAACAATTTTATTGTATCTAAGTTTGCTGTATTGGTGAGATTTTTTTTTACTAACATATTGTTTTCCTTTTGTTTTAGTTTCCTCTGGTTTATATTGAGGTAAGAAACTGAAAGCATTTCCAGTTCAAAAGAAGTCAGTATATTAAAAATAAATCAAAATGTTTGGAAAGTCATGAAAATAGTCCAAGGATACTGTAAATTAAAAGGGACTATACCTGAAGACAGCTGGTGTGTTGTATCCCACTCTACCATTTCTTTCCTTCCAAGTAAAATTACTAGAAACTTCCCAAGTGATTAATGATGAATACAGCAGTCTTCCTACAAGTATCATGGCCTCTAATTCTTTATTTTTATTTTATTTTATTTTACGGTACATCTTGTCACCTTTTTCACATATGTAGGACCCCAAAACGAATCGAATTATGCAATGGCAGAATGTTACATCAGAGAATGGAATTAAACAATTGTCCTTCAGCCTGTCGTCAGAGCCCATTAGGGGTGTCTACCAGATCGTGGTCCTAAAGCAATCAAGAGCAAAGAAAGAACACTTCTTCAGTGTGGAAGAATATGGTATGGCTTTGAAAGACTGGAGGGCATAGTGTTTGGCTAGCAAAGTGTGAGCCCACTTGGACGTATTTATTATATCTGGATAGGGACGGGCGTCGAATGACACAATGAAATAGAAACACCTGTGAACCCAGAACTGCACAAGAGTTTGGGTTAGGTTTGGTACCAGGGATCGAACTCAGGACCTTGTGTTTTGAGGCAGGCTGTGAAACCACTGAGCTAAATCCCTGGCCCTTGGGTTATTTTTGAAAGGAAATTGTTTTCCAAAATTTGTTCTTTTTCCTTAAGTGGAAGCTTCTGTGATTTTCTAGGATTAATATAACACATGACCACTCATTTTAATAGCTTTGTATGGTGTTACTGTAAAATTACAAAGTTAACCATTTCTGAGCACTGGTTTTTCATATAACCTACTACAAAGACACCTTGCCCATCCGCTGCATTTTCTGTGATCTCTTCCAATAGTGCTCCCCAGATTTGAAGTGCAAGTAAAATGTCCAAAGACAGTCTCATTGCTGGATAAAGAAGTGAATGTAACAGTGTGTGGAACGTGAGTTAGTTTTACTTTCTTTCTCTACTACTAGTAGCCTGTGAATTTTTCGGCTTTAATGTCTGTGAGATCAGTTTTGGGGGAGTTAAGAGTATTTGGAGGTATCTCTTTGCCTTGTTTCTCATGTTTCTATTGGTTTCATGCTGGAGGATCAGTCAGGATAGAAAAACACTGGTGCTACAGCAGATGTCTTTTTAATAAATGTGTGTTTCCACGTACTATGACCTTGGCTTTGTTATATTTTGGTATTTACACACTTCTACAGCCTACTCAACATAAATTTAAAATGTTTTGAAAGACATCTCATTGTACCACCATAAAAATAGACAAATACCTAAGCAGTCTCTTCTTCTCTCTTCTTCTTGTAAAACTGTTCATGGCATTCTTTTTTTATCCCCTCCAACTATAATTATTGCTCTGTACCCATCACATGTGATCATCCGTTCCATCACTTGGAGTGAAAAAACAAGTTGGGATAATTCTAACAATGACAGAGCTTACAATGATGAAATGAATGGTTTCAGGTGACAATCTGTTTCACCCTCTGCAGAGGTGAAATACACTTACCCCGACATATAAAGGTGTTTGGGAAACAAACGTGGCATTGTGCTGACCCGTCATGGTGTGAGACAACGTGAATCTCAGAGGTCACAGTCCTTGGTCCACGTGTAGCACCTGTCACTAAGTTCTGTAACTATAATCATTTTACTATCGTGCTGTGATCTTTCACTGCTATATCAGAAAAGCGGGAATGTTGGTCTGAATAATTAAAAGTTGCTATTAAAGTTCGCAAGCATGGAAACCAAAACAGCACCAGCAGATTTAACTCACACATCTTACTAAAGACCAAATGCAAGACACAATGCTTCTTTAGGCTCCAATTCTGTTTTAAGATATTTCATTCAAGATTCTGAGAGAAAACAAAACAAAACAAAACAAAAAACCAAAAAACAGAAGGACCAGAAAAGACATACTAGACTAAAGTGAGAGGCTGAGGGGTTTTCAGTGAATGTTTCTATCAGGCCTTGCTTTTCATTCACATGAACCCTGTCCCGGTAAGACTCGAAGGCACAGACAACAATGGTTGAGAGCTAAGTTGTCCAAGTCAGGGTCTCAGCTCCACCACTTTACCAGCTGAGTAGCCTTATTGGCTCACATAGCCTCAGCCTGTGCCTCATTTTCCAGAACTTGCAAGTGGGGGAAGTAATAGCATCTCTCCCTTCCAGTCATAAACAGGATGAAACACCTTGATGGATGAAAAATACTCAGAAAAAAAGATTTGTTTGTAGTCATTTACTGCAGCTGTTGTTATTATCATGGAACCACACGGAGCAAATCTATGTGACAACTGCACAGTACGGGATATGGATGGAGATAAAGAGGGTCTCTGCTTTTGGGAAAACCCTTGATTCCTGTGAATCTTTCTTGTGACAGATACACCTATGGGAAGCCTGTCCGAGGACATGTGAAGTTAAACATATGCCGAAAATATCTTGCCGACTCTTATTTTGGACATTTCTCTGGCCCACTTGCTGAATGTGAAGAGATCAGTCACCAGGTGAGTGCAAGCTGTTAGGAGGCTTATTAATGTCCAAAAAGCTATGAATTGCAAATGTAGAGAGAGTGTCTGGAAGGGAAAGCATACCAAGACATCAAAAGACGGCAGTTCAAGAACTGGGGGCAAAAAACTGAAAACCTTCATGTTAAAATCAGGAACAAGACAAGGATGCCCACTATCAACACTTCTCTTCAACATAGTTCTGGAAACATTAGCCATAGCAATTAGACAAGAGAAAGAAATTAAAGCAATAAAGATAGGAAAGGAAGAAGTTAAACTATCATTATTTGCTGATGATATGATAATCTACATTGAAGATCCAAAAAACTCCACCAAAAAACTTCTAGACTTAATTGACAGATTCAGTAAAGTATCTGGATACAAGGTGAATACCCAAAAATCAATAGCCTTTATATACACAAATAACAGACAGACAGAAAGAGAAATAAGGGAAAAATTCCTTTTACAATAGCATCCAAAAAAATGAAGTATCTAGGAATCAATCTAACAAAAGAAACAAAAGATCTCTACACTGAAAACTACAGCACTCTGAAAAAAGAAATCGAAGAGGATATAAAAAAATGGAAAGATATCCCCTGCTCCTGGGTAGGAAGAATCAACATAGTGAAAATGGCCATACTACCAAAACTGCTATATACATTCAATGCAATGCCAATTGAAATTCCAACACTATATTTCACAGAACTAGAAAAAAGAATCCAAAAATTCATTTGGAACCACAAGAGACCTAGAATAGCAAAAGCCATTATAGGCAACAGTCACATGGCACCAGGTGTAACAATTCCCAATTTGAAACTATACTACAAAGCCACTGTGATAAAATCAGCATGGTACTGGCAAAGAAATAGGCCTGAGGATCAATGGAACAGACTGGAAGACACAAAAACAAATGCAGATGTACTCAGCTACCTCATCTTCGACAAAGGAGCTCACCATCCTCAGTGGAGGAAAGATAGCCTCTTTAATAAATGGTGTTGGAAAAACTGGATATCAACCTGTCACAGATTAAAATTAGACCCTTATCTTTCGCCATGCACTAAATTAAAATCCAAATGGATTAAAGATCTAAATATTAAAACAGAAACATTAAACTTGCTGGAAAGTAAGTTAGGCAGAACTCTGGAAGACATTGGTATAGGAAAAGACTTTATGAACAAATCCTCAGTAGCACGGGAACTAGCAGAAAGAATCAACAACTGGGATCTCATCTTACTAAAAAGCTTCTGTACTTCAAAAGAAACCATTAGCAGAACTAAGAGACAATCTACAATGTGGGAAAAAATTTTTACCAGCTGTACCTCAGACAAAGGACTATTATCAAGGATATATAAAGAACTCAAAACAATCAGTCCCCCCAAATATAAAGACCCGATCCAAAAATGGGCATCCGAAATGAACAGACATTTCTCATACAAAGAAGTGAAAGCAGCAAGAAAATATATGAAAAAATGTTCCACATCACTGGTCATTCGAGAGATGCAGATGAAAACAACACTGAGATTCCACCTCACCCCACAAAGAATGGCTGCTATCAAGAAATCACACAATAACAAATGTTGGCGGGGTTGTGGGGAGAAAGGAACCCTCCTCCATTGTTGGTGGGAGTGCAGACTAGTGCAACCACTATGGAAATCAATATGGAGATACCTCAAAGAGCTTGGACTGGAGGTTCCATTTGACCCAGCCATCCCTCTGTTGGGTATCTTTCCAAGAGAACTAAAAGAATCATATCACAGAGAAGTATGTGCACCCATGTTTATAGCGGCACAGTTTGTAATAGCTAAATCTTGGAAACAACCTATTTGCCCATCCGTTGGAAACTGGATAAAGAAGATGTGGTTTTTCTATAAAATGGAATATTACTCAGCCATAAAGAGCGAGAGAATAGATTCATTCATAGGAAAATGGATACATATTGAAGATATACTCCTAAGTGAAATAAATAAGTCCCACATGTGTAAATACCAAATAGTTTCCCTGGTGTGAATATTCTGCAACAATGCATAAGATTCTAATAAGATTACTGACATTTAGAAATGGGAGGAAAGGAGCTAAAGGTGTAGGGAAGGTGTGATACATAGGGGAAGAACAAAAAGGGAAAAGAAAAAAATGTGAGAGAATGAAAAGATGAAAATAAAGTGTTTGTAGATGGGGAGGGGAGGAGGAGGTGAAGGGAGGGCAGAGGTAAGGGGAAAAAATGAGAATCAAGACTTGCCATGTAAAGGTACATGATCCCAGCAATGAATGTAACTGTACTGTATCCCTAAATGTACCAATAAACTCAATTAAAAAAAAAAAAGAACTGGGGGCACAGTTCAGTGGTACAGCATTTGTGTGGCGTTTACAAGTTGTGGTTGATTCCCAGAATTGCCAAAAAGAAAAAAAGAAAAAAAAATCCCCACAGTAGTCCCCAAATCTACTATTATAGAGGGGAGACTTCCAGAGATTTAGAACTAAATTTGTCCACCATGTATTAGTCAGAAGAATGAAATAATGATGTTAAAAAAAGAAATAATGATATTCATCACAGTTTATTTTTTCAATTAGTGCCATGAATTGAATCTAGGGCCTCCAACATCCTAGGCATATACTCTATCAGATTCTAGCCAATGGTGGCTCTTTTAAATAATAGCAAATGACTGTTGAGTTCTTATGACATGGTGGTTGATATTCTAGAATATGTATAAATATATTTAATCTACGCAAATCCCTATGTAGATGAGAAAACAAAAGCAAAGGGATACTACTCTTAATGTGCTCAAGACTGTGCCACACAGTAGGCTAAATGTTAGAGCTGAACCCAGTGATTAAATCAGAATTCTAGGTCGTACAGTTGTAAGCAGTTGGTTATCTCCAAAGAAGGCCTCATGTGTTGGGTTGACCATGTGCCTGATCCATGTGTCATGCTATGTAACTGTTCTTTTTCACTTAGCAGCTGGACAACCAAGGCTGCATCACACAACCAGTAATAACCTACAGGGACTTCACAGATTGGCAGAAGATTCAACGTGTTGTTCTTCATGTGAATGCCAACATTACAGAGGAGGGGACAGGTATGTGAGCTACATAAAATTATGGCCCCTCACACACCCCAGGAACATTGATATCTTTTTCTCATCAAAAGGGAAGGGTGAATGATGCAGAAAAATAATTTTAAAGCCAGTGATTCTTGTCCATTTTTCACCAACTTCTTTCTCAGGGTTGGAATTCACTGGAACTGGGACAACTGAAGTTAGGAAAGCCAGAACCAATCTAGTAGTTGTGCGAAAAGATTTACAGTTCAGAAGGGGGATTCCATTTGTTGTTCAGGTAAAGTACTTTCTGATTCTCATGTATTTAAATTGTGCTGTAGCATCAAAGCAACACAGACCTTTCTCCTCGAAATGGGACCTGGTCAAAGCTATTGATTGTAAGAGTGGGGTGGAGCTCAGTGGTAGAACAAATGCTTAGCACATAACCAGGATTTGACTTTACCTCCCAGAATCAGCAACTAAAAATTTAAAAAAATTACCTATTGCTTCTTGAGAGCAAATCATATAATCATATGTAACAGATCTTTTTAATTAAACATATTGCTCATTAAAACTACACATCTCAAAGCATTAATGTTTCATTGGTCAAATAACCACACAACATCCCAGATGAAGAACGAAAAGCCCTTCAAGCTTTTTATCTACAGCCTGACCACTAGAGTTCCTGGGCTGTGGTTTGACCTCGTTCTCCCAGCTAGCTTTTTATGGGTTCTTGGTTACACTCATTCACACCATGAACTATGCCTCCGGTTGTGAAAATGAGGCTCCACATGAATGCCACTAGATTACTGTGTATAGCCCCCCAATACTGACTGCGCTAGAATGCATATCTAGTGTGTATCATCCAAGGTCCTACAAAGTGTACATCAGAGACCTGAATGAAGTTCCTAAAGTCATGGGCTTTTGGAAGTCAGAAGTCTTTCACTTTTTGGACAAAAGGGTCTGTTTATGTAGCACTTCAGTTTCCTGTTTTGGAATTCAAACACGCAGTAGTATGAGTAATTCCGATGTGAATATTCCACAGGAAGCCTTTGTATCACAGAATAATTGGATTTAACCCTGAAGGAGGATGGATGATAGAATGTGATTCAAAGCATGAAAGCAGCAACCTTGCCAATTTAACCGAGTATTGGAGTTATAAACCTAGTGTATGGTCCATCTTAGTCATAAAATCTGCTTGTAGAGTATCTGTATCTGCTATCGCCATCCAGGTCGTCTTTGGGTTGAGCTGTACCAGAAAAGAGGGATAGCTGAGGGACAAAATTGATGGATTGGCAAATGACAAAGCCAGGATGATCATGACAAGTCCTGGGGTGAATTATGTTCAAGATCACAGTACCTGTATTGCACGAGCAGGATTTCTCCTCTATGCTTATTTTTCTCTTCAATTATTTATGTTTTCAGTTTCTTATATAAGAAACCAAGGAGTTCTGTTTAGAATGACCTTGCCTACACCTATTTTTCAAGAGTTTAACCTGTTTTATCTTCCAGAGGGTTAAGTGTTTCTGCTTTAACATTTAGATCTTTGATCCATTCTTGATTTTCTTTTAGTACATGGTGAGAAATATGTGTTTAGATTCAGTCTTCTGCATGTGGATAGCTGGTTTTCCTAGTGCCATTTATTAAAAAGGCTATTTTTTTCTCCAGTGTGTGTTTTTCTCTCCCTTTTCAAAGCTTAGATAGCTGAATGCATCTGGAGTTTTTTCTGCATCCACGATTTTGTTCCATTGAACTACACATCTGTTTTTCTGCCAATATCATGCTATTTTTATCATTGTGGATTTGAAATATAACTTGAAGTCTGAGATTGTGATACCTCTTCCTTTGCTCTTATTGCCGAGAGTTGCTTTTGCTCTTTCTGGGTCTCCTATGGCTTCACATGAATTTTAGGATTATTTTTTGTAATTTTTTTGGTGAATGCTGTTGACATTTTGGTAGGGATTATATTAATCTATGTATCAGTTTTGGAAGTATATCAGTATATATGTTCTTGACATTTTAGCGACATTGGTTCTGCCTATCCAGAATCAGGGTATATCTTCCTATTTTCTTGTCCTCTTTGATCTCCTTTTTCAAAGTAGGTAGTTTTGATTGTAGAGGTCTTTTACTTTCTTGGTTAGGTTAATTTAAAAATGTTTAATTTTTCTTGATGATATTGTTTTCCTTCTTAATGAGTTCATTAATGGTATATAGGAATGATTTTGATTTTTTGTTTGTTGATATCTTGCTACACTAGTGAATTTGGTAATTAATTTTCTGAGTATTTTATAGAATCTTTTGGATCTTCTATGTAGAAAATCATGTTATCTGAAAATGATAACTTTACTTCTTTCTTTCTTATATTTCTTCTTTCTTTCTTTTTTCTTCCTGATTACTCTGGCTAATGTTTTGAGTGCTATATTGACAGGAGAGGTGATAACAGAATCCTTGCTTGTTCCTAATTTTATGGGGAAAGTTTTCAGCTTTTCCCTATTTAATATAATGTTTGCAGGAGGTTTGCCAGAAATGCATTTATCAGATTAAAAGAAAGTATTTGTATGCCTATTTTCTTCAGAATTTTTATTATGAACGGATGTTTGCTTTTGTAAAAGTTTTTTCTTCATCAATTAAGATGATCATGTAAATTTTGTCGATCTTTCAGTTTATGTGATGTATTGAATTTATTGATTTGTATGTGTTGAACCATACCTTGCATTCCTGGAATGAAGCTTTCTTTGTTATGATGTATGATCTTTTCGATGAATTTTTGCTTTCTGTTTGCCAGTATCTCTTGAGGATTTTTGTGTCAATGCTCATTAAAAAGATTGGCTTGAAAGTGCCCTTTTTTGGTGGGGTCCTTTTCTGGGTTTGGAAACATGATAATGCTAGCTTTTAGGAAGACCTTTGGGTGTACTCATTCTGTTCCAATTTAATTAACATGTTTGAAGAGTATAGGTGTTATACTTTCCTTGAATTCCTTGCAGAATTTGTCAGAAAATCTATTGGTTCCTGGGCTTTTCTTACCTGGCATTTTAAAAAAAAATGCTTCCACTTAAGTGCTTATTATTGGGTCATGTTGGAAGTTCATATCTTCCTTGCTCAGTTCCTGTAATTCTAATATTTCTAGGAATCTATTCATTTCTTTTCTATTATCAATATTTTTGGAACACAGGGTTTCAAAGTAGTTACTAATAATCCAGATTTTGGCAATGTCCATTGTAGTTTAGCCTTTTTCCTTTCCCATTGTATTTGTGTAGGTCTTTTATTTTTCTTCTTCCTTCTCTTCTTTTTTCTCCTCCTCTTCTTTGTGCTCTTCCTCTTCTTCTTGGTAAAATTGGCTAAACGTTTGTCCAGTTTTTTCTTTCAATGAACTGACCCTTTATTAATTCTTTTTATTATCATTTAGTTTCAATTTCATTAACTTTTGCTTTGATCTTTATTATTTTCTTCCATTTAGTAGCTTTGGATTTGGATTGTTCTTTTTTTTTAATTTTAATTTTTTTTCTTTTTAATTGAGTTTATTGGTACAATCTAGGTATACAATACAGTTACATTCATCATTGGGATTCTGCACCTTTACATAATAGGTCTTGATTCTCATTTTTTCCCCTTGTCCCTGCCCTCCCTTCACCCCCTCCTCCCCTACCATTTGCAAACACTTTATTTCCATTTTTTCAGTTTCTCATATATTTGCCTCTCCCTTATTACCTTTTCCCCACCCTTCCCACTTTCTCTACACATTTAGCCCTTTACTTCCTATTTCACATTATTAATTATCTCATTAGGATCCTGTGTACTATTATAGTTTTTCACACAAAATAAACTATTTGGTATTTCAGTTAAAGAAATCTCTGTATGAACATTAAAAATAGAGAATCCTAAAATAAAACTAAAAAGGAAAGTAAAAGAGAAAAGGCAATGATGTAACATTAAAATAATCCTTAATTCTGGAGATGAAAATTGTCCCTGAACATATTTAAATTGCTTCTCGTTCTTATAGTCTTATCTTATTCTTTTTTTCATTATTTAGAGGATATTAGTTTCTGTAATCAAACCCACGTAGATATGACCTTACATATTTAACACAGTGTGTTACCCCTGTACACATGGAAAAAAATAAAAAATAAAAATAAAAATAAATTAACGTTTCTAGACCAATATGGCTGTCCATTTCTGTACAATGCCAACTCAACACAGTAAATTGGGATGACTTTTTCCAAAGTTGGCAGCACCGTTAAATTTTCCCAAAATTCAATTTATATATATGTATATATATATAT